ATTTCCCTATCTCAGAAATTTTTGATCCAGAGATATAACTATGAATTCTGTATAGAGAGAACTTTTGGTCTCAGTATTTCATTTATGAAAACAAACTTTACATTGCCTTCTTTCAAAGCCTTACAGTTGCCAAGGATTTTGGTGTGAAATGCACCCATCTGTTTTTCCTTAGCTGAAGGCATCTTAGTACCAATAACCAACTAAGAACAAATTTCTTTTCATATGGAAACTATAAAAGATGTTAAGAGACCTCTCTTTGCAGAGCTTACTGGTTTTTTCCCATATCTTTTTAATCCTTTTCACTTGTTCCACAGAGACCCTTTTGGTCAATCTTCTGAATCTGCAAATGCTCAGTTTATTTTTTTGAAAGTTTGTCATTCAAGTGACTGTGCACTACTTTTTGGTAGAACATTCCTCTGCTAATTAGGTTTTCTGTGCTCTTATTTGCTGACCCCACCTTTGTTTTGTTTATTGATTTTGGGAGATTTAACAAATACTTAACAAATCATTCTATCAGAGAATGTTAACTTACTGAAACAAACTGTGCCGTTAGCTGCCTAACCCTTCCAGTGTTGTTCTTTATTTACACACTGGATGTGCCCTTCAGATCCTATTTCCCCAAGTCACATGCTTTTGAATATCAATTCTTATGTTTGTGCTAGAATCTTCCCTTAACCTATGGAAACAAAAATGCCTTTCCAGTGAATCTGTTTACTTTAAAATAGCATCTGTTACTTAACTGTCTTAAAGAGAGTTCACTCAGAATGCTGGCTAGTCTTACTCACCCAGAAAGCTATTTAAGCAGAATTCCATTCAGAAAAGTAGACATATGCTAATTTAATTATGAGTAAGAATTCAGAATTTCATTTCATTCTGACCCCTTCCCATCCTGTTCTGGATAAATATCATTAGTGAAAGACAAAGAACAAGACAGGCTTTCCACAGCCTTTTTGTTTAAACAGTCACAAATTTTTGAAAAATGAAGAATGCATCGTGTGCTCAGAGTAGATGTTATGTAAAAGAGCAGGACTGGACAGTTGTTAAGGTAGGGACCATGTTAGTTGTAAAAATCTGTGATCCATAAACTTTGAAAATGATAATTCTCTAGGAAAGTGGTATAGTTGTTAAGAATTTTTGTTGACCTTTCAGAAAATAGGTGATTAGCTGGGATTCATTTGTAAGTGGAATGATTTGTTTGCATAAGAAACCCCATAGTTCATAATTCATTAAGGGTCTGTTCTGCTTGTTGGACCCCTAACCCCACAACAGCCACATGTACAAATGAATAAGACCATAAGAGAAAAGAAAAGAAAAAAAGTATCTTTTTTTAAAACCTACACCTCAAAACTCGTTATTTTTACTTTTTTCTTTCATTTTTTTCAGACTTAACACCCCTCCCCCTTACTCTCAAAAGTACTTGCCTCCCCAGATTGATAAATTTCTGTTGCTTCTTAATACATGGCAAGAATAACTGGCTTTGTTCAGCCTTAAAATAAATGTACTGCAAATGCCAGACGTGGATCTTGTAATCCTTGCTTCGAAGCTGGTAGACTTTGCCAGGCCGGCAGTCGGTTTTCTCTCCATATTATAAGAAAGGAGATTTTTCCTCCCTTTTCTGATGACTTCTTTTGAAGGCCCAAAACCAGAAGTGTTTAGCGTGTCATCCACAATAAAGATAAGACTGAAGAAAAATGAAAAACATTGAAAGAATAAGCCTTCTGAGAACACAAGGCCTAGCCACCCTTTCAAAACAAAGCTATCCTAATGATAATGCAGAATTACATTCTTAGAAGTTTCTCAGCCAAAAGCAGTTTTGACAATAGAGTGGCTTAAGAGAGAAGAGAACATCTCTGCATACTTGTCTGTGAGCCACGTTCCAGAACAACCAGGGCTCAGGGAGCGACTTTCCATTGTTTGTAAAAGAAAAGGCAGGAAAAACACACAGCCTCGTCCAAGTTTCTGTTCTGTAAACACAAAATAGGAATTTGCCTTGTGAGTGCAGTTTAAATGTAAGGACTTCTCAATATAAAATGAATTGGAAAATATTTTTAAGGTGAAAGATCACAATAATATCAGGCCTTCCACATAATGCTATTTCCAAGCATAGTTTAATATATTTTTAGACCTTCCTAAATAAACTTAACTTTGTTATGCCAAATATCACTTTGTTTAATATAGAAGAAGCTGTTGTCCTGTCTTATACTAGCTAATTTTTGATCCATTAGTGAATCTTGTGAATTAATAAGAAATCCTGAGATACACTCATACTGGCATTAAACTGAGGATCTCATTGGGGCAGAGCACAGCTGTTAATGACACATCTCTGACAGTTGTACACCCATCAAGTGACTCCCTCTGCTCTAGTAGCTCTTTAGAGACACAGAAAGGAAGTAAAATGAAACTGTCTTTATTTTTTCCAGTTAGAACTCTTAGAGAAATATAACCTGATCTTAATAGATTTTGAGCATACTCCAGCTGGATATTTTGGAATAAAGACTCACATAAATATTTTTTTGGTGCTATTCCCAACAATCAAGTCTTGTGTGTGTGTGTGCGCATGTGCACATGTGTGTGCACACGCACACTATATGGCCCACGGAGGTTAGACTAAGAAAGGAGGAGGCACAAGGCTGCCCATCTGAATGTTTTGGGGTCTGGGACATTTGATTTATTTGAGGCTAATTCACCTTCTCCTTAGGAATGCCAAATCACTAATTAATTTACTCTTCATGGCCTTTCTGCTCTGCAACCCCAGAACCAGTGGAGTGGTAATTGCATCAAATTGAGGGGCTTCATTTCCTGCCCAGCCCTCTTGCTGCCCCTGCCCCTCACCCCGTGCAGGCGGTATGTTGTATCAGGGGTGATTGCATACCTGTTCTGGCTGTCACCCTTTCCTCACAGTGTTGGCTAAAATTGTCCCCTTCTGGAATACCCCTTACCTTTTCCTAATTACTTCTGTCACTCAAATAGAATTATTCAGTAGCTCTTCTAAAGAAGTACCTTACACACTTGATTAAAAGCCCAAAGAGGTTTCAGTGATTTTTTTTCCCCTCTTTGAGCAGCGTCTGCCAATTTCCCTGCTAATTGTCCTCAGTGTTAGCCAGAATTCATTTAACATGTTGTGGCTCGAATAAGACTGAGCACTGACTGAGGCAATAGAGGCAGTCCCTGATTACAGAGGTCTGACTTACAGACAACTACTTGCATAACCTGTAAGTTATGGAAATTTGCCCTCACTTTGAAATGATTGAAGTACCTCTACTTGGAGCAAATTCTTCATCACAGTCACCTTTACTTGCTGCATGTGCAGCTTTTAAGACATTGAAAAGGCTAAGTGCCTTTTCTTGCACTAAAGGCTAATAAGAGCCATATGCACTTGTTCCAACTCAGCTACAAATTCACCTTAAAGACACAGTTAGAAATGGACCTAGTTTGTAACCTGAGGACTACTTGTAGTGGCTATGAAATTAGAGGTTTATAGGATTTGACTCAACAGAGTGTGTGTCCTCAGTCTACACTCTTACTTAGAAAAGGTTTCTGGTTGTTTTCAAAACAAAGGAGATCTTAAATCTGCTGAGTTCTTTTCTTTTTCTGCAATGGCACATACTTAAAACATGGCATTCCCATACTGCACCTTCTTGTCTCATGCTACCTACTTCTGATACAGTACTACCTAGTTACTCCTCTAGAGTTACATGAGGTTAAGAGCTTGACCTTCCAAATGAGATAGCAAGTTCATTTCTGGCTCTGCCAGTTGATAACTGAATGTATTTGGACAAATTATTTAACTTCCTTAAGACTTAGTTTCCACATCTATAAAATGAGGATAAAATCTGCCTCTCACTGCCATCGAGTTCATTCCAACTCATCCGACCCCTATTGGGTTTCCAAGTCTGCAAATCTTTCCGGAAACAGATTGCTTAATCTTTCTTCTGTGGAGTGTCTGGTGGGTTCAAACCACTGACTTTTTGCCTTAATCGCTACACCACCAGAGCTCCTTAATATCTACTAGTGGGGTTGATATTAATCATTATAACATGGGCAAAGAGTTTAATAGGTACCTGGAACATAATATGTACTCAGTAAATGGTGGTGGTGGTTATTATTTCAGTTACTATTGACAACATTAGAATTGTTTTTGTACTTCACAAAGTATTGATAGACTTAACTTTTTGATGTTCATTTGTATAAATAGGCACATTAACTCATTGTACAAATCATTCTCAGTGTTTAAAGAGAAACCAAAATTGGTGGCTGTTTTCAGCATTCCTAGTATCATTGTTTTATTTTTGCTTTCCAATTCATATTTATTAATCATGCTAATTTCAAGGATTGCAAGGGTTGAACACACCCGTACTTAAACACGTGCACAATCAGCATATACATACATAAAGTGTCTATTATTACCTTTTGGAATATAGTATAGTAAACTATGTTATAAGTAAATGAAAATGAATATATTAATATCCCTTAGACTAACTCAATTTGGGGACGATTTCTCCAAAACACAAAATTTAAATGCTACAATTTTGCAAATATCTACCATTGTGGGGAGGCATAACCAGTGATTTGGATCTTAGATTCAGTTTTTTTAATGAGACCATTATTAAGCCTTTAAACATATATTTGAATTCCCAGTTATTATCTTGTAGAGAAATTTATCAGAGATTGAGAGGAGGAAGAGTTTCAACTAATAAAATGTAAAATCTAATTTGTGAGAATACTGGAGAATTCTAAATCACTCAGGCCCATTGATTTAAATCTAGCTCTGGATGTTCTAATTTCTAAATTAGTTTTTTTCTTTATGAAAAAGGACATTAAAAGTCTATAATATATGTGGAAGGGGTCCTGGGCATGAATATGTATGTTTTACCCAAGTTTCTCTACATGGGGTTGGTTGTGTTTGCTAAATGGATACAGTTAAATATTAAATAAAATTTCAGTAGTATACCAAAAATATAAAGTACAAGAATAAAAATTCCACTTTCTTTTTGTTCCAGGTTCTCTGGGAGATGCTAACAAGGGAGGTCCCCTTTAAAGGTTTGGAAGGATTACAAGTAGCTTGGCTTGTAGTAGAAAAAAACGAGGTAAGACTACGTTTCTACATTCAGGTACATAGATCAGAAAACAGTATTGGGGTTTTGCAAAAGACTTTTTCATCTTCTTCAAATTGAAAGTAAGTTCACGCTTATGGAAAGATTAGCAGTAGGAGCTAACACAAAGGGTCAAAGTGATGTTATTCCTCATGAATGGACCCTTTACATCTAATTGTTGCAGCTTCACGTCGTGATGCTGTAGATCAAAAATTGTACAAGTACTGTACTAGTTTCTCAGTCTCAATTGTAAAACCTAGGGGTTTGTTCTTAGTGATGAAAGAAGCCATTGCGTCCAAGGTAGGGGAACAGTTTAACTCCATCTCCTGCGTTTAGGACATCTTTTTTACTGGCCGGGAGTTGATATATCTGTAAGAGACCTTCAGCTACTTCAACTTACCTCTCCCAGCAGGAGTCACTATAGTACAAGAAACTGTCGCTTAGATGAGAATTTCAAAAATAAAAGAAGAAAAAATAGTTTCAAAAAAGGGAAAAATTACAGATTTGCCACCTACGTTGAACACTACATTGAAGATGAGCTTCTCACTGGAATTGGCGAGGCAGTGGCATAACTGTTCACTTCTTCATGCAGAGCCTTTCCATTTCAAAAGAACTTCAGTGGCGTAAACACCGTTTGTGCTGTGTCCCCAGCCTCGCTTTTCTTCTTCCCACAAATTGAGGCTTTCAGTTAGTTGGACCTATGAGCCTACATCAGAGAACATGGTACATTCATATCAAAGAGAGCAACTACATTTTGAAAGGTTTAAAATTGTGACTGAAACGCACAGCCATGGAAATTCTCAGCATAAGGATGAAGCATCCAATATCAAGGTATTATGAGAACTTAGATCATGTAATGGAAGCATGTGGTTGTCTTTGCAATGCAAAACAACTTCATTTCACAAAACTTCTTCATTTCCAGATCTTATCTGTGCCCTTCACAAAGGGTGACAGTGCAACCTTAGGATAAAATAATTTGCCAAAATGATGAATATATTAAAGTACTCACTTTTTAATGCTTTAAAAGAATTGGATTGATCTGAACCCCATGTAAGTGCCAGAACAAACTAGATTAATAAAAAAGCTGCTATTGACTAGGACAAACCAAGTTTCCATGTTTTAGATCATATAATCCAATATTACCTTATTAATTTGCCATCCTGGTTCATTGGGAATGGATGAAATGTTCATGATTGCTGAACAGAATGGGAGAGAGCTGCCGATTTAAGAAAAATGAAAAAGGAAGAGAATGTACCTTACTCATTGTTTCACAGGAGCAGTTTGGTTTTAATTAAACCTGATAGTAATTCCTGGTGTGCTATTAAATAGAGTTCACAACTTTCACAGGATAACTGATATTTCATGATTTGAGAGCTCACTTGTTTCTGTCTGTTTCTTTTGATAGTGAGATGATTAGATGTTTGGTTCTGGGTTTACAAATGAGAGTGAAGAAAATTATTGACCTTCTATTGACTTTGGAGCAAACCACTCAATGTAATCTTTTCCTTCTAAATTGTTTCCAGATAAACTAGAAGAAAGTTTTATTTTGTGTGTGTGTGTATGTGTGTGGGTATGTGTGTGTTTTAAAGCTAACTGGACCCTCCAAATATATATCATATAGAATAATTAGTATTTAAAAATAATATTTTATCTAAAGACTGGCAGAATAGGTGTGAGTTGAAAACATTTTGAAAGCTTTGGAATATCAAAGATTTTTAAAGCTAAGAGAAAAATGAATTTAGATGCTGCCTTTGGATAATTGAATTGAGGGTTGGGAATCACTCATATATAACCTTCAGAACCTCCTGAACATTGTACAGTAAGGAAGAGACCTTCCTCTTTTCCCCCAATGATCCTATTCTTTATTGTTTTATCCATGCTGCGATCTGATGATTAGCTAATAACTGATGAAGGGTACGCAATACCTCCCGTGCCATATTTAGTCAATATAAGAGGGAAGTGAAAGAAGTCCATGTGGTGAAATAACTTTTCTCAATTTTCTAATGAATTTAAGAATAATTGGATACTACAAGGATATTTATCTGTTCTCATTCTGTATAATTTTTTTATCACAGATATAGAAATCATTAAATGTAATTTTCACTTTCATCATTCAAGAAGGCATTTCCATTTTACCTCATAAATGGAGACACTCATTTTCAAAACAAATTCTTTTTGCATAACATTCAGATAATTTTCAATACTTTTATTATATCTCATTTCATAATAAAATTGAGACTTTAACCTAAATAAATCTAATTTGTAAAATTCTTTCAACTTTTAGTTATTTGTGCTTTGAAATAATTTGAATGAATGGATATTAGCCTTTGGGTTGAAAAGAAAAAATTATATATATATATTTTTAACAGCTTTCATTTAAATAAAGAATGGCATGTTTAAATTTTTAGAAAGGCATTTTAACTGTGATCTAGGCAGCCAATCAAGTATCCATATCCAAATACTACGATTGCCTTTTTTTTATTTTGAAATAATTACAGACTCATAGGAAGTTGCAAAAATAGTACAAAGATCGCTGTGTACCCTTCACCCAGCTTCCCCTAATAGTGACATATTATGTAGCTATATCAAAACCAGGGAAATGACACTGGAACATTAGACTTAGACTTACTAGACTGGGCATTTTATTCAGTTTCACCATTTAGGATTGCCTTTTTCAATCAGTACTAGGAAAATCAGTATTCCCTAAAGATTATGTCTGAAAATCTTTGCTTCTAAACCCTCAATAATAAAACAAGGTCTTTTAAGTAATTAATTTTCCTAATATTAAATCCCATTAAATTAGAATTGTGGAACAGTACTAAATTTTGCAAAGTAAAACATGAATCCCTAAGGGTTTAGAAGGCATGAAATTAAGAGAGCAGTACTAAAAAATGTTTAAATGTTATAGATATGGATATTTGCCTTGTTATTTTAGTAAAACAGTCAGCGGTCATTTATAATGTTCTGGCAGTATAATTACTATTTTTATAAATGCTTGGATTCTTATTTATTCTTATGAAACTTACTTTTTTCTAAGTAGCAAAAGTTCTATTCTTAATTGACATAGATGACCTCACAAAGCTTACTCCACTGCTCTTGACTAAACTTTAGAAACAGATAATAAAAAACTTGACTTAAAAAATAGGTTTTTACAGTAGTACAAAGGAGAATACCATATATGTTTTTTTTTTTTAAGTCATGCCTAATTTAATAGCTGGAGAATATTTTAATTTTATATTTGAAATTTTTATTTGAAAATATTTAAGTTTTAAGTTGTATCGCAAACCTGGTGCTAAGATCTGGTTCTTTCAGAATGTTTTCATGCATTAGGAATGTTCACTGTTATGTGATCAGGACTTAAATGTTTTATATTCTATTTTGAAGTACTTTTTAATGCACCAAAATAATCCCTTACATAAAGTGTGTGAGTCTAGATTTAGGTGATATTTGCCCATGTCAAATTATTTACAATAATTGTGTCTCCTTGAATAATGTCTTGAATGTGGTATCTCAGAAGTTGATCATCAAAATTGATGATGGAAATGATCAACGTCCATGCTCACCCAGTTCACATTTCAGTTCTTGGAAGAATGCTGAGACAAAGTAGTATTGAAAAGAGCTAATCTTATGAAAATGCCTTATTTTTGTTACACAAGTACATTCAGGAGTACATTATATAATTGAATAAATGCAATAATAGGTTGTTATTTGTTTTCAACCCCCAACCAACTTATATTTTAAAAGAAAAACGACTGATTTTCCTTTTGACCATCATAAAATATTTGCAGTTCATGATACAGTAAGATAATAGTGCAGCTCAATACATCTTGCTTCATTAATACGAAATCACAAGAGTAGAAGTTTAAAAGTGCTGAGCAGATCTTCCAGCTTGGGAAAAGGTTATTTCATTTTGGTTTACTTTGTTTTGCTTTTATTTTGTCTGTAATTCCAAATATAAACTGTTATTTGCTTACCAAGGCTAGTTCTACACATAGCCCCCCCCCCCCAATGTGGTTAATTTCAATTTTAAGTTTTTTATTTGCAAAACTTCTTTGGCAAACAATACTGTGGAATAAATCTTCAGCGCTATACTCTGCTCTTTTTAAATAAGTGTATTAACATTCCCACTGTACCCCAAAAATGAAATTCAGAGGTAACACACCTACCTATATACATTATTTTTTAAGTCAATATAATGCTCATGCTGTATTATAAAGGAAAAATAAACAAAATACGTGTTGTAGTGTGGAAATGCTCCAGCATGACCACACTAGCAGAGACAGTGAAGCAGCTTTTCAGTGCTTGCATTTGTGGGTAAATGGAATGCACCAGCTCCATATGCAGGCTAATAAAGCTGAGCTGTATTGAGACTCCAGTACCATGAGTAACACTGCTGTAGATTACACTTTCCAAAAATCTTATTAAAGTTATGAATAAAACAAAACTTATCTGCCTTTGATTTATTTTATTTGGTAGTCACGTTCTTGGAAACTTCAATGCTTATTAATACTGTTCAGAAATACTTGGTGTTTACTTGTCAATCAGAGTTAGCTTCTTGGTTCAGAAAACTATAAATATCTTTGGTTATTTTATTTACTTGATTGCACATAGGGCATTTGAAATTTGGTAGTGTGCAAGAGAGTTCTTGATCTTATAGGACGTTCGGGTGCACTGAAGGATGGCTAGCATTCCTGACCTGTTCCCCCTTATAAATGCCAGTGGCAAGCCTCCAGTCTTTATAACAAACAAAAACTGCCTCCAAAGATTTCTAAACTGCCCCCTATGGGCATTTACATGTTCTGTGTTCAGAACAGAGCTGATCCTCACATTATAATCTGTGATGTCAGATCCTTACAGTATACAGTTATCCTCTGTTTTCTGAAAGTGTGCATTATGCCACTTTGTTCTTAAGAAAGAGCTGCATTAGTACCTTTCTGCTATCTGGGGAAAAAAGAAAAGAAAAAAGGAGTTTTGCTTTTAAGGAAAAAGTTACACAGAAGCAAAATTAGTATTCAGTGTTTGTCTTGCAGCAAGCCATTGAAGAGGCAGCATGCACCCCACGCAGCGAGAGTGGCTTCGCCAGGCTACTTCCCCAGAAGCTGTCCTCAGCATCTCAGTACCATGCCACCACAGCTTTGAACTGTGTCTGTGAACACCATATGTTAGTGTTATTTAGGTTTTATGTGTTATTTGGTATGATTTGGTAGGTTATTTTTTAGGTCTGGGAACATTCAAAAATTTCTCCTGTATAAATTAATTGTAATTGCTTCTTTGATTTGCACCATTTCCACTTATAAATGGTTTCATAGGAATGTGCTACCTTTTGATAACAGGGAAAACCTATATAGGTTTCACTGAAACTAAGCCATAATGAATCATACATGTTATGGATTGAATTGGTCCCAAATAACACATGTACAAATTCTAACCTCTATGCCTGTGGTTATAATCCCATTTGCATATAGATATCTTTGTTACGTTAATGAGATAGGACTAGTGTAGGATGCATCTTAAGTCGATCTCTTATGAGATATAAAAGAGATTAAGCAAGCAAGCAAGGAAGCAGAGATGGGGGAAGAGAGATGCCAAGCCACACGAAGACTGCCCAGGAGCAGAAGCTCCAAAGAGACAAGGACCTTCTTCCAGAATCGGCAGAGAAAGAAAGCCTTTCCCTAGAGCTGGCACCCTGAATTCAGATTTCTAGCCTCCTAGAACCTATACAACTCTGAGAAAATTTCTGCTTGTTAAAGCTACCTATTAATGGTATTTCTGCTATAGCAGCACTAGGAAACTAAGACATTAATTCAGAGTATCTTACTTACCAGTGAGAAAATGCATAATTCTTTAAAATTATCTCTATGATATTCTGTCTTCAGAGTTGTACACCTGCCAAAGCTAAACTGATTTCCTAGTTGCCAGGCCTGCTTGGATATTTCCCGTTGTTGTTGTTAGGTGCCGTCAAATTGGTTCCAACTCATTGTGCCTGTGTACAACGAAACCAAACACTGCCCAGTCCTGCATCCTCCTCACAGTTGTTGCCATACTTGAGCCCATCGTCATAGCCCTTGTGTCAGTCCATTTCATTAAGGGTCTTCCCTTTTTTCACCGACCTTCTACTTTACCAAGCGTGATGTCCTTCTCCAGTCTCTTGATGTGACCAAAGAATGAGAGACGATGTCTGGCCATTCTCACTTTTAAGGAGCATATTGCATAGTTGCCTGTACAAGTATGGTGATAAATTTCTGAGTTTAGACATAGTATTTAAGTTTCAACTTGCCCCTTTCCCACTATAGTTTCTTTTGTACTCAATTCTGTGTTTTGTTTTATGTGTTGTGCTGGACAAGATTTCTTCATACCGTTCCCCTTTGGAGGAAAAGCATAAACATATATCTTAAAACAGAAATTTTAAGAAAGACATGTTGTATTGGGCACATCTGCTGCAAAAGACTTCTTTAAAGTAAAGGAGGGGTTGCTATGAGTCGGGTCCGACTCAACGGCACATAACAACAACAACAACAAAGTGTACAGTAGTAAAGATGTCACTTTTGAGGACTATGATGCACCTGACCCAAGCCAGAGTATTTTCAACCACCTCATATGTATGCAAAAGCTGGAGAATGAATAAGAAAGATTGAAGAATTGATGCCTTTGAATTATAATATTGGCTAAGAATATTACACATATCATGGACTGCCAGAAGAAAAAGATATCTGTCTTAGAGGAAGTACAGCCAGAATGCTCCTTAGAAGCAAGGATGTAAAGACTTTGTCTCATGTACTTTGAACATGTTATCAGAAGGGACCACGTCCTGGAGAAGGACATCATGCTTGGTAAAGTAGAGGGTCAGCAAAAAAGAGGAAGACCCTCAGTGTGATGGACTGACACAGTGGCTGCAACATTGGGCTCAAACATAGCCAACAACTGGGAGGATGGTGCAGGACCAGGCAGTGTTTTGTTCTGTTGTTCATAGGGTCACTATGACTCAGGACCAACTTGATGGCATCTAACAAAAACATAAGCATATTTAGAGATTAGATACTATGAGAAGAGAAATTCTCTCCTGTCATGTATTAATCATTCCTTGGAAGTTTCAAATATTGTGTCTCGTTTATATTCTTAAATTAACTCACTTATGACCCTCCAATTAATATCTGTTTGCCTTAATGACTAAATCCTTGCAATTTTTATTTTGTTTTGTTTTCTCTCTCTGTTATAGAGATTAACCATTCCAAGCAGTTGCCCCAGAAGTTTTGCTGACCTGTTACATCAGTGTTGGGAAGCTGATGCCAAGGTATGTTTCTTTTTGTTCTTGATTCTTAAATTTTCTTTGTTTGGCTTTTAGGTTTTTAACCACAGATTAATGAAGTCCATTACAAAGCAAAGCTATATTGCTGTTTCTGTGAATCCCAAATTGACTGTTAGCTTTCTGTTGACATCTGCCTGCCCAGGTCTCTAGAAAGTTAGTAGCCTTTCTTAGAGTATTCTTGGGCATTCTTGACTTTGTAAAGATAATTTTGTCCATTTTTCAAAATCATCAATAATAACTACTGAACATTTATGTTATAAAAATAGTTAACACAGAGGGCTTATATGCCTGGTGTTGTTCACTTTATGTATAGTAACTAATTTATTCCTCAGAATATCCCTATTATATAAACCAAACTAAACTCACTGCCATCAAATTGATTCTGACTCTTGGCCACCTCCATTGGGTTTCCACAGCTGTAAATCTTGCCCCATCTTCAGGCTTCTGGTTAGCAGCCAAATGCCTTACTCATTATGCCACCAGAGCTCTTTATATCCCTGTGAAATAGGTTATTATCCCCATTTTGCAGTTGAAGAAGCCAAGGGACACAGAGGTTAAGTAATGAAGTCAAGGCTACACAGCTAGTAAGCGGTGGGGTATGGGTAAACCCAAGCAGTGTGGCATTGGTCCCTGCTCTTAGCCATTGCACCTTATTGCCTTTTAACTAACCAAAAAACCCACTGCTGTTGAGTTGATTGTGACTCATAAAGACCCTATAGGACAGAGTAGAACTGCCCCATAGGATTTCCAAGGCTGTAAATCTTTATAGAAATAGACTGCCTCATCTTTCTCCCACTGAGCAACTGATGGATTTGAAACTGTTCATGTTTTGGTTAGCAGCCAAATGCCTTAACTATTACACCACTGGAGCTCCTTTTTCTAACTAAAATCAAACCAAACCAAACTCACTGCCATCGGGTAGATTCTGACTCACAGCAATCCCCACTGGGTTTCCGAGGCGGTAAATCTTGATGGAAGTAGAGTGCCCCAACTTCCTTCTGTGGAGCAGCTGGTGGGTTTGAACCATCAACCTGGTTAGCAGTCAGAAGATGCCTTAGGCACTGTGCCACCAGAGCTCCTTTTCTAACTAAAGACTAGGCACTTCTAGAGAATCCTAGTATGCACTTCCTATTCAGTTTCAATGATTTTTTTAAGCTATCAGAATAGAATTGGAGAAACTCCAAAGCTTAGGCTTTCATGTGGTTATCACATTTGAACATGAATGGACCGTTTCCTTTCCTTGCAAAGATTTTTAAAAGACTCTCACATACATATGGAAATATTTACAGATTAAATGATAGTGTAATCTTGGATTTGCTTCAAAATAAAGTGGAAGGAAATGGATGAGGGTATAGATTAAACAAGATTGGCCATGATCATTTTTGAAGCTGAGTTGATAAATACGAGGTGGTTCATTATATTGTCCCCTCTGCTGGCATAGTGCCTAAGGCATTTGACTGCTAACCAGAAAGCTGGCAGTTCAAACCCACCAGTCACTCCTCGGAAAGAATGTTGGGCAGTCTACTTCCGTAGTGATAACGCCTCAGAAACCCAAGGAAGAGTCACTATGAATCGGGTCTGACTCGACAGCAGTGTGTTTAGTTTTTTACTCTTGTGTATGTGTGAAACTTTCCGTAATAAAAAGTCAACAAATAAAGAAGACTCAACTTCAACATTCTAGAGAGCAATTACCCTCAAAGAAAAAAACTAAAATTTTATAGTGCAAATCTGTCAAGTTTTTCATGGAAATAGTTCTATTTCAGAGAATAAAACTGGCTGGTGAGTTTAAACCATCAGCAGTCAAATGCGTTAGGCACTATGCCACCGGAGCTCCTAACCTTTTAAATAGAGGCCTTAAAAGAATGAGTTAACCATGGAATTTCTTCCTTAATTTAAGCTCGGTTCCAACCTTATCCCCAAGAAGCATGAATAGTGATAACATATAGTCTGTTCTTCTTCGGGTTTCTTTAATATGACTAACTCATAAAACATTAGTAAGTATGGGAATTATGTTAGTATAACGTAGAATTCATATTGATTCATATGAATCAGATCACACCACCAGGGGAGAACAGCTAAATACAAAGTATAATCATTCAGCCCAGTGTAGCAAGGACCATAGTACTGTGAAGCCCATTCACCCCAAAGAGCCCAAGCTCTTTATTGGCTTGGCCTAGACATTGCTTGGTCTTGGAAGAATTTGTTGCTGTTTCTCTATGACTTTATGTATTTTGCCTTTGCCCTTATGACCCACAGCCTTGACCTTTGCTTTTGACTCCAGCTCATCAAACTGTCTTCACCCTTTTTTATTCAGTATAACATAATATAGTAGAGTCCTATATTTACTTAGTATTCTTTTTTTATTAAAGAATTTAAACTCTTTTAAAACTGTGTTTTTTTTAAAAAAAAAAATTTAAGATTGCTCTGTTTTAATAGTGCTAAAACTTGCATAGGTTTTGAATGGTCTGCCCTTCCCCAATTCAGACCCTAATGTTTTTAGCATGTGATTTTGCAGAATATAGGGGTTTTTACACATGAAAAGAAATGCCTGCACTTTGCAACTAATCCAGTAGAAACTATAAGCAATTATTTGCAAGCCTGCCTTTAGAACATTTATTTTATACTGTTAAAATGGTATTGTATTACCTTTCCCTACTTTTTCAACTACTTTTATGTCCATCTTGGCATATACCAGTAATTTTGATAAGATTTTTGTATCCGACACTTAAAATTTTCATGTAAAATTGTTTGCATTGAATTTTATTTATGCAGCTAGACGTCTATAATTATAATTATATTTCAATATGCAAAGCAGGTTTTGAATTTTCTCATTGGAAACTCTGTATTACATTAATTAAAATTCTAAGAACATACATTTTGTTGTTGTTGTTTGGTGCCATTGAGTCAGCTCCGACTTATAGCGACCCTGTGTACCATAGAATATAATACTGTCCAGTTCTGTGCAAGCCTCACAGTCCTTGCTATACACTGAGCCCATCGTTGCAACCACTGTGTCAGTCCATCTCATTGAGGGCCTTAAGTTACATTAATTAAAGGATAGTGTAAGCACCTCACACAATAAGAACATTAGGCATAGTGTCGAGCCTATGAAGTTGGGGTATTATTGCCTAACATGTAGTCAGCTAACCTTTCTTTACCCGTTGACCCATTGCTGTTGAGTTGATTCGACTCATAGTGACCCTTCTTTAGGACCAAAGAAATCTTATGTTCTTGCCACATGAAGTATAAAAAAATTTCAAGGTCAATTTTTAATTTCTAAGTCCATGACATTTTATTCTTATAAAACTAATATATATCCTCTCTAAGTTTGCTTATACATTCAGCCACAGCCCACGTTTCCTGTTCTCTGTCTGTCTCTCTGTCTCTCTAGACACCCCTTACACATAGCTCTGTACCCTAAACATGATCTTTTTCCTTTTTTTCTTTTCTCTCCTGAACACTTCAGTATCAAGCTCTCCCTGGCCATTCTTTTTACCCAAGTCCAGGCTTAGTACACCCTCTCTTTATATACAGACTATCTTGTTAGCCAACATTTTGCATTCACGAATTTATGACAATAATAAAAAACCTATTATCCAACTCTTTTGCAGAGTAATGATGTACATCTGGTAGTAATGAACACTGAGGTGCAAGGCAAGAGTAACACTGGCTGTGATGGTTAAGGTTATGTGTCATCTTGGTTGGGCCATGATTCTCTGTGGTTTGGCAGTTATGTAATGATGTAATTTGGCAGTTATGCAGTGATGTACCTTGGTACTATATCATAATGTAGTCATCCTCCATTTTGTGATCTGAGGTCATCCTCCATTTTCATATAATGCTGATTTTTGTTTAACAGCCTGGTCTTTGGGGCCTAACCATGTTGATAAATGAGAAAAGAATGTACTCTTTTTCCTAAACCATCATAGCTCTTAACATCTCAGCTACTGCCTGACCTTGAACTATTAAAAAAAAAACTTTTTAAATATATTTTCTTCCTAGATAGATTGTAAGCTCTATGAGGAAACAGAGCTAGTTTCTATATGTATTTCCCATAGCACTTTACTAAATTTAGTAAATAGGTGCTCTGATGTTGTTGACTGAAGACAAATTTCCTGAGAGACACATCTTAGTTCTCTCACTAGATATATAAAATAATTCATCCAGAATTGGTGCCAGATCTTGCATATATGTAGAGCAGTAGTTGGTTAAAATATTTTATTTCTCTTTTTTTAAGTCCTTAGACTTTAGAACATTAATATAGAGATGAAAATATCCACCTCTGTAGAAAGTGTTCTTTTGTAATGAAGAGGCAGAAAAGTATACAAGAGAAGGCTGATAATGGGTAAATGCAGGGTTATTCCAGTCATTTGCAGGAGATGATCAAAATATCTTACTAAGGACAGAAAAGAAGAAAGGGTGAGAGTTGATTCATGCTCTAAAATGATATTTCTAAATAAGGAAAAAATAGTAATTAAAGCCATAAATTTGATGGAAAAGAATATCTAACCCTCATGGAAGAAAAGATTTTGAACCAGTATGCTATGATGGTTTAACAGTATACCCCTGTGCCAGATGCACCAGCTCCTGGGTGGATTGTTCTGTATGTCTAGTGAGAGAACTAAGATGGGTCTCTGAGGAAATTTATTTTGGTATGGTTATGTAACTTGCTTCTTGTGTGATTCTGAGCAATTCAGAGATTTCTGAGACTCATTTCCTTCACATATAAAATGAAGATAACAAAGCAGTACTATATATAAGTACTTATGAAATGGTCCTAGTTTTGATTTTTTCTTTTAATAAGGAAAGCTTATATAACACTACTAAAATGAACCTAAATCCCTTCAGAGGAATTTACATGAGATCCTGGACCAAATGTTGTATTCTGTGAGAAGAACACTTGCACAAAATATTACCACAAAATTCTACATTGTTGTTTCTTTTTCAGTGTCCACAGTGATAATTGCCATCTGAAAGCATATTCTAACTAAAAAAGTTTAGATTTTTCTAGGGATGCTTGTCATCCATTTAAAGTTTTTTCTTACTTCAAGAATGATTAAATGTAGGGGAAAATACTAGTCCTTAAAAATTCGTTCTCCTGCTGCTTTTCCATGAAAAATGAAAAGCCATTATTTGTGATATAATTCATTACTATGCAAACAATTACAAGACTTTTCCTTTTGCAACCTTTTTGAAACCTTTTTTAATTTCTTTTTGTGGCAGAAATTAAAATAGGAACAAAGTCAAAAGAAGGCAAATATATTTTTGAAGTATTTTAAGTCACTTTTCTCTTTGCTGTTAGAAGATACAATGTACATCAATGACATTTAGCATCATATGCCCTCTTCTTAAAACACCCACACACAAGTTTACCCTTAAACAGGTAGAATAATGGCAGAACTCAGAATAAATGCCCCAGCTTTATTCCTGAGAAATGGGGAAAATGCCTTTCTTAGTAATGTAGGAAGCACTCATTGCCTAAGAACAAGCAAGCAACCTCAACATTGTTCCTTCTTGTTTTTGTGCTCTTAAATTAAAATGCATGTTTAATTGCTGCAACTGTAATTTCTTCAGAAATGGTATAATTATGAGGTGTGATGGAGAGAGAATGTGCATCATCCTTTTATTATCTTTCTCCATTTTTGTTTTAACCTTTTGTCTCAACCTTGGCTGGAATCTCAAAAGATAGTATAGTTACTGCTAGCTAAAGAAATATACTTAACCACTGCTTTTTCAATTTTTAGTGAACAGTACCTTGCAATTTCTTAGCACCAAAGCTTGTTATAATGTGGAATAAACATTGAAAACATGAAGTTATGATGACTTTGAAATTGAGAGATTTTTTTTCTGAATGACTGGGAGATAGACAGATTTACTCCCCTCCCAAACATTTTATTATAAAAAATTTCAAACATACAGAAAAATTTAAAGAATTTTACAGTGAATATTTGTATATTCATCACCAGACTCTGCCATTAACTTTTTACTGTACTTGCTTTACCACATAGATGCATTTTTATGAAAGGAGTTATGCTTTCTTTTTAGGAGTCTTTAATCAAACCCAAAAGAGAATTGGTACTGTTCTTACCTAGAGAGAATAACCTCATTATCCAAACCTTGGGCCACAAGATGGAAAAACATTGAAGTTTGTTCTTATGAATTGATTAAAGAATACTGTCCGCTTAAACCTGAGTTATCTAATTGATTGTTGTAAAATAACTGAAGCAGAGCTTTGTGTCCTGGTTTTATTTTGTTACAGTGATTTGAGCTTGTTACCATGCTTGTTGATAGCTACATTTTCTCTTAAAGGTCTACTTTTTCCAGTACCAACAAGTGATTGCTTACTTTCTCTTCCTCAGAAACGACCATCGTTCAAACAAATCATTGCAATTTTGGAATCCATGTCAAATGACGCTAGCCTTCCTGACCAGTGCAACTCATTCCTGCACAACAAGGCAGAGTGGAGGTAGGTAGCCACCATGCTGGAGTAAGCCTCTGGCTCAAAAGGACCAAGAATAGCTTCAGGAAGAAGAGAACCACACAGAGTGATGACAGTCTGGATTTCTAAGGATAGATTAGAAATTAGAAATGTGATTTTTTTTTTTTTTTTTTTTTTGGAGATCAAATAAGTCTTCCATTTCCTATGTAAGCAAAAAAAAAGAGTGTTTCTCCAAGTTTGTTGCCTTCTCATATGTCTAAGACTTTGGAAAGAACACTGAAATCCTATCTTCTGAGACAAAAGATGGCTACCAGACATTTCCTTGTATACACTCTGTGTTAGGCAGCTTTGGCCTCTGTCCTACGGGACATGAAAATACTATTTGCCTTGAATTTTGCTGTGCACTCTTATCTGCTGATGGGGGAGGTATAGTATAAAAATGCCTCTTAAAAGAAAATTTTAATGTTATAAATCATATTAAACTTTCTCAAGTGAAAAGCAAACTTAGTAACAAGGGGATTGTTGTGTGAGTGGAAAAAGCAAGCCCAGGGTGGAGCATTTGCACCAGGTCACATGTCCATGAATATAAATAGCATGTTTGGAAGCTGACATTATTCCTCACCTGACTCAGCAGAGATTTTAAGTAATTTCATCTCTGCTCCCGATGGCCATGGCAGTAACATGACACCTTGCGCCATCTGCTGATTCCAAGTAAGTATTGCATGGACTTTGAAAGTTAAGTTGTTTACATCTATTATTAGACATTTCTTTGGACTTTCTGTTTGGTGTTTTACAATAACCTTATTTATTTTTATTCTTTTGAAATCTCTCTCTACGGCCAGTGACTTAAATTAATTTTTATTTAGCAATACAAAAGTAAGACTGTGAGTTTGAATCTAGCAATGAGGGACTTTTTTCTGGGCTGAAAGAATTAAAACAAAAGATGTAAGTAACCTCTGTTTCCTACAGGAAGAGATCAGAGCAAATAAAATCAAATAATTCCCTTTAAAAATCATGTATGAGTTCCCATTACTCTTAGGGCAAAGGCCAAAATACTTAACAAGACTCCTAAGACACTTTGTACTCACCAGCCTCAACTCAGGAACATCACTCTCTCCTTAATTTTTGGCTTTCTTTAAATCCTTCAGCAGATGCTTTTTTTTTCCCCCTCCATATTCAGCGTCTTTGCAAATCCAGTGTCTTCTATTTAAAACTCATCCTATTTCAGCTGCACACCACCCCTGATACCCACCCCCACCCCACCTTAGATCCTATCCTCATTCAGAGAACAACTGGAATATCACGTCTTCAAGAAAGTACTTCTTGACCCAAGCCAGCTCAGGTTCCTGTGTGCTCTGAGACCATCTCTTCCCAGCCTTTGCTGCCTACTGCAAGGGATAAATAATACTGCAGTGGGTTGTTTAATCTCTATCTCATTGGGCCCACAGTCTATCTTGTTCATCTCTGTACCTACAGCTTCTAGAATGTTCCTTGAACACAGCAGTTGGTCAGTAAATATTTTGGAAAGAAGAAAATATCATGATGGTAATGCTATGGAAAGACGACATGATATTATACAGGAGAATATAATGGTGTAAGTTAATTAGTTTGCTGCCATAAATGTACGTCTTACATTCATTCATTCAGATATTCACTGAGCCTCTGCTGGTGAAAGGTACCATATTGAATGTTGAGCTGTAGAACAGGCCCAATGCACATGGACCTCTCCAGCAGAAGTGTCTGATATAAACTAGTAAATTAAATACACAAGTGATTATTTCATTGCTGTTTTGATAAGTCTTATGACAGAAGTACTGAAGGCCTTAGAGCATATAACCATGAAACTTGATCTAGTCTGAAGATATAATAAAAGAATTCTCTGAAGAATTTGATGTGTTATCCAGGGGACTTAGTAGGATTTTGATGCTACTGTTAATACCCTTGAGATAAGGAGTCTTTTGAAGTGCATCAACAAAATCAGAAAAACATAGGAAGAAATTTGGAAAGTTTACTATACAAACATTTAAAGATTCTATATGATCAAAAGGAATATACATCATATATACATTGCCAAGACAGATGACATAGTATTGCAACTACTCTCCCCCACAATATGTTTGGATCAGCAGTTCTCAAATTTCCTGGTCTCAGAGTTCCATCACAATCTTAAAATTTACTGAGAACCCCAAAGAGCACTTATTTAAATGAATTATACCTATCAACGTTTACATATTAGAATTGAAAGCTAAGAAAATGTTTATATATTTATTAGTTGATTCACTTAAAAAATAATAATAAATCCTGCTTCTTCATTCGGCCCCTTGCAGTATAACATGTTATGAAGCCTCTGGAAGACTCCACTGTACACTTGTAAGAGGATGAGAGTAGAGAAACTAAATAATGTCTAGTTCTATTTTGAAAATAAGTGTAACCTCGCAGATCCTTTGAAAAGGTCTTATGAGTCCCCAGGCCACACTTGAAAACCACTTTGATAGACAAAGGATTACTGCCTTTAACACTTTATTGCTATGGAAACTTTTACTGGAAACACAATAAAATCTGAGTTTATAAAAATAACATTTTTAAATTAATAAAAATCATATTAAAGAACATGAAAAGACATTTCACAAAAGGAGAAATCAAATCAAATGACCAGTAAACATACAAAAAAATATCCCTTCTCACTTATCAATCAAATAAATACAAGGGGACATAATTCATGTATCAGGTTGCCAAAATTTAACATTATGAAAATACCCAGTATTACAGGCTCTCTCGTACACTGCTGGTAGGAACATACTACCTTTCTAGAAGACAGGCTAGATCAGATGCCCTAAAAATGTTCATATTCTTTGTCCCAGAAATTCTGCCATGAGCATTTTATTCCTAAGAACATGAATGAAAGAAGATAAGACTTAACTGATCTGACAGAGACTGGTGGAATCCCCTAGACTGTGGTCCTTAGACACCCTTCAAACCTGGAATTGAACCTACCTCCAGAAGTCAACTTTTAGCTAAACAGTTGTTGTTCTTAGGTGAGGATGACTTACGGCCAGGGAGGAACATACTCCTCAGTACCATCACCTGTATGAAACCAAAAGGGCAATGTTTGCCCATAAACAGAGCTCAGAAGACAGGAAGGGACAGGAAAAAGGGATGAAAGGAAACAAGGAACCTAGGAAGAATGGGAAAAGTGCTGTTGCATTGAGGGAATTGCAACCAGTGCCACAAAACAAAATGTGTATAAATTATTAAATGGAAAACTAATTTGCTTGGTAAACTCTCAAACTACAATTTTAAAAAAATGGTAAAAAATTAGTCCTAAAAGAAATATAATCAGAATGTTCCTTAAAAAAGAAAAGAAATGGGAAGTTGTACAAGAATGTATGGATATTTGTCCATCATAGTAGTGATTAGAATTGTAAAACTGGAAATGACATAAAGTATCATCAAAGAAGAATGGTTTTAAAAAAATTATGATAGTTTTACCTATGAAATTGTATAGAGCCATTAATGATGATAAACATTTGTGTTTATTAAAAGAATTGATGGTAATTTAAAAATACAGGCAACAATACAGTAAGTTCCATTTTCTTCAAAGAAGTATTTATTTATATGTATACATATGTGTACCTAGAAAAGTATCAAATGTCAGTGTTCTTGTTGGGTGGTGGGGTTATGGGAGAATATTTTATGTTATAAATCTTGTTTTCTATTTTAAGCCTGAATTATTTGCATAATAAATGTAATTTTTAAAATGTTTTAAAAATATATATAAGTTCATGTTTCCAGAAGAAAAGACAGGATTAAAATAGATAGGGAATGGGATAAAAGGTAAAATGCATCGATGTATTTTAGGGGCCAGTGGCATGCCATCTATGCATTAGCAGTATTCACTATACTAGATTCCTTTTTAGCTGAGAGAAATATTACTTACTGAGCATGATCATTGTAGGATTTGAATAAGGTAAGATTCTCTTACTATGTATGCCAAAACCCAAAAAAATCAAGCTCACTGCCATCGAGTCAATTCAACTCATAGTGACCGCTTCTTGGGTTTCCAAGGTAGTATTTCTATGGAAATAGATCGCCCAGTCTTCCTTCCAAGGAGTAGCTGGTGGGTTTGAACCGCCAGCCTTCTGGTTAGCAGTTAGATGCCTTAGGCACTATGCCTCCAGAGCTGCCTCTTAATATGCCAAGTGCCAAAAAGCTTAGTAAGTCACTCATCTGGATATTTCAGATATGTGTCTATATCCAGGTTTCAAAGGACAGCACATTCAGATAATTCTTTTCTTTCCTCAACTTTTGTCTGGTGTCTGGAACCATGTAACTAAGGTCCAAAGTATATTTTAGTAAACTAGAGCCATGATTAGGTTGGATTCCATTCCTGCACTGGATTTTCTGACCAATGATTGCTTTCTGGTAGTTTCCTCTACAAGATGGAACATGTAGTTTTGGAAAATTAATGATTATTCTGATGATTCCTTTAAAAGCTCACTTACTAAAAAATCACATAAACTAAAGTCTTTTCTTTGACCTCTTAAATGATAGGAAAGAAATCTAGTGTGTCAGACATTACCTTACCTTGACATTCACATCTTCAGCTTGTCTCCCTTGTTGATGTATTAGCACTAATGACAATGGGCATTGAAAATAGAAAATGTATTGTCTTGTTTTCATCCATGTTTCATCCATGTTCTCAGTTTTCATTAACTCATGTGGTTGTCTGCAGACCTGTGATAATCTGCACTGAATGAGCTTTGTGATGTTATGATGGAAACTTCAGGTCTGTGTCTCTTGGCAAAACACTTTGTTGGTCGTGTTTTTCCTTGGTGATTGGAGTGTCTTCACCATGATGTGCCTTCTTATGAACAGAAAGGGGAGATCGAAAAAATTTTATCTTTGCAATTTGGATATTAGCACAAATCGTGCACAAATTATGTAATTTAATATGTAATAGGAGATTTAATAATCTATATTTATCTTGTGATTATATGATCTCGTTGTTTATACATTGGCCTTTTATTTCAAAGTAAGTTTCTGTCTAATGGAAAAAGATTAGTACAGTTTGTTGCCTGTTTTTGCATATGGAAAATTGATAGTAGTTGAGCCAACTGTGGCTGGATTTAGCTTAAGAAAGAAACATAATTTTCATCAACCAAAATACTTAAAAATCTATATTCCTATAAAAGAAGGTATGTAAATGCATCAACAAATGCAAAAATAATTCATCAGCCAAAATAAAGAGAACAGCAAAGGGACCAGCTGTCTGCATGCTGTTCACCAGGTTTGGGGTATAGATCTTATGGCATATAACTTCCAACACTCCCGTCAGGTCCTGAGGTGCTGAGGGGAGGGGCTAGGAAGCGAGGCCTGAGCAGACACAGTGAGGAAGATACTTACTCTGCTAGGGTTGGTTTTTCCCTGGGCCACAGCTTTCAGCTTGCTTAACTCTTGATCTGTTGTCCAGAAAGGCTCAGAATCACAGTGGGCTCCCAGAGCTGGAACTTGAGATGAATCCTTGGCTTAAATTACAAATGAAGTAGAATTTGTTGGCCATTTACCCTGACCAAAAGAAACATTAGTGAGATCAGTCCTGCTGGCGGCAGAGTTGGAACTAACTGGCTTGGCAGAAGCACTGCACAGACGAGCAGTCCAGGCCACCGCCATCTCGCCACAGCGTGCCCAGCTCTGCTGCCTCCTTTTGTCTCCCTCTGACCATCTTTTACTGAAGATGGTTAATGCTTTTTATATTTTTTTAGCAAAAGTTTAACCTATGGTTTTCCAAATTGCTTCCCCCCCCCCATTCTTCCACGTAAAAAAATGAAAACAAACCCTCAGTGAATGGGCATGACATTTTTTGTCAGAAATATCAGGGATAAATTTTGGATTTTATGATACAGTTATAATTCTGAAAGATTCTTATGTAGTGCCTTTCTTTTAGGACTGTAGTAAGACTTTACATGTATCATTTCATAGTTCTCAAATGCACCAATCAAATGACAGAATCTTGATGTTTGAGGGTGGCACAACAGATGCTTTTTATACCCAATTACGACCTCACTTGCTTTGAGACACTTTTCAGACAACAAGGGGAGGGATTTTGGGGGCCCAAATTCAAACATACCTCAATAGATGTTCCCCAAGTTGATTTAGCAAATCAATGCCCAGAACTTTTTGTTTTCATTCCTTTAGTTCTCATCTGTAAAGGCATTAGACTAAGCGGTCCACTTTTTATTCTGACTTTCTCTAGTAATAAAAAGGCAGTCTTTGGTTCATACACTCATTCTTAGATCTGGAAGCTTCCATAGTCAAAGCCTCAACTAGGATTATGCAGTCTACAACCCCGGTGTGTCTCAGTGGTACCTGGAACAGCTAACCTGTAATCATCTCCTATTTCCATTCTCTTTCTCCTGTTTCTGCGTCCTTCTCTCTGTGTGCCTTCTGCAGCCCTGCCCTCCCTTCCCATTCTGCCCTAACATGCTCACTCCTGTGCACACTGTCTCTCTCACCACTGTTACTCTACTCACAGGCTCTCTGAATCTCAAGGGAAGGAACTTCCAGTTCTCAAAGCATAAATTTAGACTTAAACATTGTGACAACCCTGAAGGAGGAAAAAAAGTTTGTGCTGAACCATATTGTCAGTTTCAGTTTCTATAAGTGACAAGTTTCTATAGTTACAAGCGTATTGTCCCAAGTGGTGAGGTTGGTTGGCCTTTGAAGACTAAGGAAGAAACTTTTTTTAAACTGTTAGGAGTTCATGTGGCCCAGGGTTTCCTATACTGGCCTGATTGTAAAAATTATCTGGGTTTTTTATCAAATAATGGAAATTTCTAAGCCCTACCCAGCACTACTGAATCATGAGCTCTACCTAAGGGTCTAGGAATCTGGTTTTTGAATCTGGTTTTTGTTTATGTTTTTTAACACTCGACAAAAAACTCACTGCCATCGAGTCAGATCCGAATCATGTTTTTTTAACAAGCTCCTCAGTAATTCTTAGTATCAGGCAAGTTGGGAAGCCCTGATAACTACCACTTCTTACAACTTAAGGAAACAGGATCCGTTTAATTGATCACTGAGATTACTCAGCCAGTAAATAGGCTGGTCCCATCTCAACCACTTACTAACAGTGTGATACTGATAATCTAACCCAAGTATCATTTTTCCCATTTATAATAATGAGATTCGTACAGGTTTCTTAGGACTATTATGAGAATGAAATGAGATAATATATAATAGCGCTCTGTGAACTGTAAAGAGCTAGATGAATGCTAAATATTTATTAAGTAGTCAAACCAGGACACAACTCCATAGCTTTTGCCACACCCCAGTGACTCTTCAATGCTTTGTTGAAGTATTTACAATGTACTACTGCAAATTAGAAACTACCTGTTGATGTTTTTAAGGATATAAAAGAATTCTCTGGTAAATTTTTCTTGAGCTAAGTTGAGACTCAAACCACTTATCCCTGTGCAGGTGCGAAATCGAGGCTACTCTTGAGAGGCTGAAGAAACTAGAGCGTGATCTCAGCTTTAAAGAGCAGGAGCTTAAAGAACGAGAAAGACGTTTAAGGATGTGGGAGCAAAAACTGACGGAGCAGTCCAGCGTCCCGGTGAGTGTGAGCTATGAGGTTATCTTCTCCTTCCCCTCCATCTCTCCAAAAGCACTTAGAAGACTTGGCTGAGCTTGGCAGCATGGCATCGCTTCTCCCACCCTCCTACTCCCACAGGATTATTTATTCAGATTTCAGCATTCTTCCCTATTTTAAATAATTTAGCTTTTTAAGAGGAAGAGAGTGGCAGACTGGATAAGAAGCTAAGACCCAACGATATGCTGCCTACAAGAGATCCACTTTAGACACAAAGATAAAAGCAAATTAAAAATCAAGGGGTGGAAAAATATATATCAAGCTTATGGCAACCAAAAAAAGAGCAGGAGTGGTGATGCTAATTACTGATAAAATAGACTTCAAAGTGAAAACCAGCATAAGGGACAAAAAAGGATACTATATGATGTTAGAAAGGTCAATTGACCAAAAGGACATTACTATAATAAGTATCTCTGCACCCAATGAAAGAGCTCCAAAATACCTAAAACAAATATTAACTGAATTGCAAGGAAAAAAATGGACAATTCTAAATAATTTAGCATTTTGAGGGAGTTAAGTATAAATTTGTTATTGTTTTTCCCAGGGTTTTTTAATGGGCAATATTTGTCCACTTTAAAATCACAAATAATCATAAAAGTAAATTTGTTACATATTTTTAACTCATAAGTACTATAGCGAGTATACAAAAACAAACAAAAAATTCACATGCCCTTCATTATATGGTCTTCCAAAAAGTTTTTTCTGTCTTTGAATAAAAGTCTTACACTCCATTAAGCAGCTAATGCACATTTGTAATGTATTTTTCAATGTATAAAGAATAAAATCTTTTTGCCTCCTTTGTCAACTTGTGTGGAGAACCAATCTGATATCCAAAAAAAGAAAATGCAATGAGGTTTAATGTTATTAGGAAGCTCTGGTGGCATAGTGCCTAAGGCATTTGATTGCTAACCAGAAGGCTGGAGGTTCAAATCTACCAGCCACTCCTTGGAAGGAAGATTGGGCAGTCTATTTCCATAGAGACACCGCCTCGAAAACCCGAGGAGGGGTTGAGTCGAAATCAACTCTACAGTGGTGAGGTTTTTTTTTTTTTTTTTTAATGTTTATTATCAGATTTAACCCTTCAGAAATGGCTGGTTATCCAGGTAATCTCAAAATAAGAATTGAATTATATTATCATGAGACATTAAAAAGGTACCACATTTTATAAGTTCAGTTAACTTCTCTAGGTCCTCAAGAAAGTAGCCCAGGGAAGTTTCCTGTTCTGGTTGAATTGGTCTACAGGCCAACAAGCCAACTAAAAGGCATGACCTTAGGGAGAAGAAACTTTACTTCTGCTAGAGCTGATTAGGAGATCTGGTAGCATAGTGGCTAAGGCACTTGACTGCTAACCAGAAGGCTGGCGGTTCAAACCCACCAGCCACTCCTTGGAAGGAAGGTTGGGCATTCCTACTTCCGTAGTGATACTGCCTCGGAAACCCAAGGAGGGGTCGCTATGAGTCGGGGCCGACTCGACGGCAAATAACAACAACAACAACAGAGCTGATTAGGGGCAGGAGCAAGAATGTGGCCTTGTCCATATAGCATATTTTCTGAAGTTTGAGAGGTTTTCTGTTTGTTTGTTTTTTTTTTAAGTGTATTGAAATTGTAAGCCATAAAGCACTGCATGGCTTGACTCCTTCTAGATGTAGTATGGTAAGAGTCCTATAACTACCTGTTAGGATATGCTTTAGAACCATTTCTTTGGTTTACTGACATAAGTTTTGCTAAGAAATTATCAGCTGCCTTGCACACATTATTGCTATTAGTCACGTAGTTGTGTAATAAATAATAAAACTGCATGGGTACTCAGCAGGTGGTACGCTTTCATTTTAACTCCAGAAAACTTTCTGTGAAGGAACAGCTTTGAGGGCTCCTGTCTAACACTGGACAGCATGCGGCACAATCTCAGGGAGATTGTTTTCCTGTCTTTACTTAGGAAGGTGAAGTTTTCTTTCTTCACAGTACTTGCTTTTAACAGCTCTTCTGCTTAGTGCTTGTATTTCTGAAGGAAAGTAAGTTTACGCTCAGGTGTTTTCTAAGTAGCTGTTTTCTTTTATCCTCACATCAGTTTCTGGCTGACTTTAAATGAGGTTTCTGAGAGAAAGATAAACTGTTTTAAAAGGAATTGGCCTGAGGTTTAAGATTTCTGTATATAATCTCATTTTGATTATAAAAGTTTAACCTTTTATGTTACTTCAGTAAAAAGTTGTATTATTGACTTGACCAGGGGCTCTTTACTGGAAGGTATGAACAACTGTTAGGAAATGGGTCATTGAATTTCTTTCATTGACACTGCTTTTCTTTGGTGAAACTAAGACATTACTTAAAGATATTTCTCCATGCTTAAATATGGACAGTGTTTATTTTTTAATAATAGTTATAGCTTGGTGTAAAATGTTTATTTACACTATTATAGGAATAAATGTTTTTTGAGAGACATTTGTAGAGATCTTTAGAGTCTGACTTGATGTGAGGAAGAGCTATAAAATAATAAAATAAATAAGCAACAAAGAGTTTCTAAGAGTATCTGATAATCAAAGACAACTTTGAGTAACTAGAAAGTTTGACTTCAAGGGAAATAATACTCTGTTTCCACTGTTACAGGATCTAAACCAATTTTTTTCTTCCTTGTAACTGGTACTTTTTAACTGAATTACATGAAATGTTCTTGTTGAACTAACAACACCAGAGGTCTTTCCCTTTAGAATGAGCTATTAAAAAAAAAAAAAAAACCTAAAACTCAGCTCCAACTTCAATTTAAATATTAGAAAGTTGGTCCTAAGTCATGTCTTTCCATCCAAACTAAATAGGTCATACTGAAGTGATTTCATTTTACATTGTTAATTATAAATTTACCCATATTTTATAAGAATATCCACCATAGAATCCATAATTTACTTACTTCTCAAAAGAAGAACTAATTTTTTTTAGATCCTGACAGTTTTACCCCTGAAATGATACTCACTTCAGGCCAACATGGATGGGAGTAGTTTAGCTATTCAAAGTAATTATATAAGATAGAAAAAAAAAATTGTCTTTAAATGCTATGAGAAGGAGAATTCTAGGGAAAAAGTTATTTTTAAAAGAAGGAAATGTTTAAGTAGAGAATGGAGAGAAAGGTAACAATCTAAATTAATACTCACTCCTTTCCTTCCCATTTTCTCATGCGTTTCCCTACTTGTTTATGATTTAAATGTTAGAGACAGAATGTATCTAGATTTTGTTCACAAGTGAATCATTTCATAAGTGGTCGGAACTATTCATGAGGGAATTATTTCGTAAGTGGAGTAAATAGTATTTGATCTGATGTGGCTCAAATAAGTAATAAATGAAAGCAAGTGAAATCTAGGCTAATTTTTAGTTTATAGTCAGAATACAAATCTAGCTAAACAGATAATTAATGACCCAAATATCCCTCACACTATATTGACTGCTGAGTTGGTTTTTTGCACTTCCTCTAAGCTCTTCTTTGGTTCATGGTTTCTTGATTTTCTTTTTATTTTTTTTAACATAAGATTTATTATCTACTAAATATCTTTTTAAGTATAATGATTAAATAAAGGTTTCTGTGTGAAAGTGATGTTGGGAAAAATTAGGAGCTATCCTATAATCTTTTGTTTTCAGCAAAATGAGGGTTTAAAACTTGCAGCTTACTTTCCATTTGAAATGTGGTTTGCTGTGGGGCTTTGTAAACCTTTGGTTACTGTAATTCATTCTGTCATTCACAAATTATGGCACATAGACTGAAGCCAAATCTCACATTAAATAAATTCTCACATGATTCCCCTATATTCATTTGTTTCACTAATCATTTACCTTCTTTGCAGTGCCAACTAATTTTGTGGTGTCTGTTTCCTTTATTTAAATTGGTCCTAATTTCTCTTTTTACTTCTGTCCTTTCTTCTCTTTTGATAGCTTCTCTTGCCTCTTGCTGCAAGAATGTCAGAGGAGTCTTACTTTGAATCTAAAACAGAGGAGTCAAACAGTGCAGAGATGTCATGTCAGATCACTGCAACAAGTAACGGGGAGGGACATGGCATGAACCAAAGTCTGCAGGCCATGCTGATGGGCTTTGGGGATATCTTCTCAATGAACAAAGCAGGAGCTGTGCTGCATTCTGGGATGCAGATAAACATGCAAGCCAAGCAGAATTCTTCCAAAACCACATCTAAGAGAAAGGGGAAGAAAGTCAACATGGCCTTGGGGTTCAGTGACTTTGACTTGTCAGAAGGTGACGATGATGATGGTGATGAGGAAGATAATGACATGGATAATAATAGTGAATGAAAACAGAAAGCAAAGTAATAAAATTAGAAATGTTCATAAAAACAAAAGAAACTTGTTTTCTCAGTCTGTATACAAACCAGTAAGGAGATAGAGAACCAAGCACTGCATTTAATACGACACTACCTTCTTTATTAGTTTTACCTTTGATTTTTTTTTTTGATTATAGAAAAATGGGGGAAATTTTAAGCCAAAAGGTATATTTAATAAATCAGTCAAGGTGGTGCCTGATTATAGAAATTTGTTATTCTATATACAACATAGTATTTTTCAATTAATGACATTCTTTTTTGGCCTTTTTTTTGAAAAACAAATGAACACTTTATAGTTTGTATTTGGCTATATTTTATTTCCTTTATTCATTCATTAAGAACACTTACATTTTGAACAAGTGCTCTTTTTTATTCAAACAAGTACTCTTAACCCTAAGTTCTTCTCTGACATTTAATTTTCCTGTAACATACCACATTTTTTTCTTGTAGCAATACACTGTAATAGCAGAAATGAGTGATAGTGACTACAAAATCTAAGAACAACAAAAATTGAGATGAAAGAAGGTTGTAACAAAATGTTTCTTCAGATATGCCTAATGCTGAGGATTTTCAATACTAAATACCACAGCTACTTAAAGTAAAGCCTGGGAAGTGACCTCAACAGAACATTTGAAGGAGAAACACTCT